CCAACCTCATTACTTCTATTCTATGTAGTACCTGCAGTCCTAGATAAAGCAATTATGCATGAAAAAGTAATAAAATATATCAGCATGGAAAAGGAAGAAGTTAAATTGTCTTCATTTGCAGATGGTGCAATATTATATACAGAAAATTCTAAAGACTGCACCTAAACTTTTAGAACTAATAAATGAATTCAATAAAATCACAAAATATATGGTTAACATACATAAATCCTTGGCATTTCTAAAAGTCAAAGATGAACCATCTAAAAAACCAAAGAAACAATGCTATCTATAATAGTATTGATAAATTACTTAGCAAAAATTCAATCAATGAGCAAAAAGGTGCATACATGAAAAGCTATTAAACATTGATAAAAGGAACTGGAAAAGGCATAAATGGGAAGATATCCCATGTTCATGGATTAGAAAATACATTGCTAAAATGTTTATACTACCAAAGTGATCTATAGATACAATTAACACCATTTTGCACAGATACAGAAAATTTTCTAAACTTCATATGGAATTACAATGATCCCCAAATAGACAAATCAACCCTGAACAAAAACATCAAAGCTAAAAGCATCACACTATCTGACTTCAAAATCAATTACAAAGCTATATCCATCCAAACAACATGGCCCTGGCATAGAAAGAGATACCTAGACCATGGATCAGAAGAGAGCCCCAAAGTAGAACTATGCATTCAAGTGATACTGAATTAGTTAATTTATCTCAGGAATGCATAATGGAGATGACAATCTTCAGGAAATGGTGGTGGGAAGGCTGGATGACCATATGTGGAAGAGTAAAATTGGACCTTTATCTCATGCTATATTAAAAATCAACACAAAATTGTTTAAGGCCTTACATTTAAGACTTCAAATTGTAAAACTAGTGGAAAGAAATGGAGAAACTTCTGTGTCTTGGATACGGCTTTATAAATACAGGTTACAATAAGAAAAGTAGACAAGCAGGGTTCTATTAGACAGAAAAGCTCTGTCCAACAACAAAAACAGCCAGCAAGTGAAGAGCAATCTGTTCCTTGGGAGAAAATGCTTGTGAAAGACATACTCTACAAAGGGTATCTAATATCTAAACTAAAGAATGCAAACAACTGAGTAGTTAAAACCAACCAACCAACCAACCAACAAAAACAAGAACAATAACAAAACAGACTTGACTTTAAAAGGTGGACACAGGACTAGAACAGCTATTTATGAGAAGCCATACAAGCAGTCTATAGGTACATGAGAAAATGTTCAACACCATAAATCATTAGTGAACTGCAAATTCAAACCACATGAAACATCATTTCACACCTGCTAGAATGGCTCTCATTAAAGAGACAGAAGTTACCAAGTGTTGGTAGGGACATGGAGAGAAGCAAACACTTATACTGGTGGGTGTGTAAATTAGTACAGCTGTTATAGAAATCAGCATGAGGTCCTTCAGAAAACAGGCCTACAGTATGATCTAGCAAGTCACACCATTGCTGTATGTCCAAAGAAATAAAAGCAGTGTGTCAAAGAGAGATCTATATATCC